GAGAGAGAGAGAGACACGGAGAGAGAGAGACAGAGAGAGAGAGACAGAGAGAGAGAGAGAGAGAGAGACAGAGAGAGAGAGAGAGAGAGAGAGAGAGAGAGAGAGACAGAGAGAGAGACAGAGAGAGAGAGAGAGAGAGAGACAGAGAGAGAGACAGAGAGAGAGACAGAGAGAGAGAGAGACACGGAGAGAGAGAGCCGTTAGTTTACCGACCACCGACCGACCACCGACCGACACACAGCTACCCCCGCCCCCCCCGGAGCACCGGCGGCTCACCGGGTCCGTTAACCGGCTCAATAAAAGATAAAAACAAGCAGCAGCGCGCAGACACAAACTCACCATCATGGCTGCCAACGGGTGGAGACCGGAAGTGCTGCGACGTCACGACGGCAGCCCGAGTTCATGGAGCAGAAGAAGAAGAAAGAAAATATATACTTTATTAATCCCCTAAGAAGAAGAAGAGTTAAAACACAGGAGAGGAACTAATAATAATAATAATAATAATATATAATAATATATAAACACACTTTATCTCCACATACACACTAATGTAATAATAATAATAATAATAATAATAATAATAATAATATATAAACACACTTTATGCCCACATACACACTAATGTAATAATAATATATAATAATATATAATAATATATAATAATAATAATATATAAACACACTTTATCTCCACATACACACTAATGTAATAATAATAATAATAATAATAATATAAAAACACTTATCCAAAATGATATAATAATAATATATAATAATATATAAACACACTTTATCTCCACATACACACTAATGTAATAATAATAATAATAATAATAATAATATATAAACACACTTTATCTCCACACACACACTAATGTAATAATAATAATAATAATAATAATAATATATAAACACACTTTATCTCCACATACACACTAATGTAATAATAATAATAATAATAATAATATATAAACACACTTTATCTCCACATACACACTAATGTAATAATAATAATAATATATAATAATATATAAACACACTTTATCTCCACATACACACTAATGTAATAATAATATATAATAATATATAATAATATATAAACACACTTTATCCCCACATACACACTAATGTAATAATAATAATAATAATAATAATAATAATATATAAACACACTTTATCTCCACATACACACTAATGTAATAATAATATATAATAATATATAATAATATATAAACACACTTTATCTCCACACACACACTTATGTAATAATAATAATAATAATAATAATATATAAACACACTTTATCCCCACATACACACTAATGTAATAATAATAATAATATATAATAATATATAAACACACTTTATCTCCACATACACACTAATGTAATAATAATAATAATAATAATAATATATAAACACACTTTATCTCCACATACACACTAATGTAATAATAATAATAATAATAATAATATATAAACACACTTTATCCCCACATACACACTAATGTAATAATAATAATAATGATAATAATAATAATATATAAACACACTTTATCTCCACATACACACTAATGTAATAATAATAATAATAATAATAATAATAATATATAAACCACTTTATCCCACATACACACTAATGTAATAATAATAATAATAATAATAATATATAAACACCTTTATCTCCACATACACACTAATGTAATAATAATAATAATAATAATATATAAACACACTTTATCTCCAATACACACTAATGTAATATAATATAATAATAATAATAATAATATATAAACAACTTTATCTCACATACACCTAATGTAATAATAATATATAATAATATATAATAATATATAAACACACTTTATCTCCACATACACACTAATGTAATAATAATAATAATAATAATAATATATAAACACACTTTATCTCCACACACACACTAATGTAATAATAATAATAATAATAATAATATATAAACACACTTTATCCCCACATACACACTAATGTAATAATAATCATTGTATATATCTATAAACTTAAATTATCAATAAAGTTTATGCAAGATAATGAATTGTATTCTGGTTTTTTTTTTGACTCAAAGGGCCACAGGTCAGATTTGAACCCGGGCCGCTGCAGCAACTCCGTACGTGGGTCACCAGCTCTACCAACTGAGCTAACCAGGTGCCCTTGATTTGTATTATTAAAGATACTAGATGTAATAAAATGTTTATTGATTAACAGTTTATCCAGTAATCAGTATAAAAGAATGCAGAACAATTATAATTAATATTATTGATTTAATAATGATGCAGCTGGTAAATGAATCTATGGAGGACTAAAAGTGCCACAATGAAATAGCTAAATACACCATTAAATAATTACTTAAATGTGTCATTAATTAATAAAAATTGGAATTAAATACATAAATGTGTAATTAAATGTGTCATTAATTCATTCAAATACCGATTCATTTTATTTAAAATAGATATATAATTAATTCACTATTTATTTAATTATTTCATGGTCCTGCTTCATGAATTACTTTAATGCGTAAAACTCACCCATCAAAGTTGGAAGGCGGATCCTAACGCCCTGCATCAAGCCAAGACAAATCAATTCCAGATAATGGATCGATGCAGAGCTACTGAACACATTTCAATACACTGGGTGGCGCTATTGGACTACTACTTCTAAATCTGCTGCACTCACTACACAAACAACAACATTTATTATTGATTATATTTAGTATTATTAATCTGAACCAGATAAATGATCATTTATTATTGATTATATTTAATATTATTAATCTGAACCAGATAAATGATCATTTATTATTGATTATATTTAGTATTATTAATCTGAATCAGATAAATGATCATTTATTATTGATTATATTTAGTATTATTAATCTGAACCAGATAAATGATCATTTATTATTGATTATATTTAATATTATTAATCTGAACCAGATAAATGATCATTTATTATTGATTATATTTAATATTATTAATCTGAACCAGATAAATGATCATTTATTATTGATTATATTTAGTATTATTAATCTGAACCAGATAAACGATCATTTATTATTGATTATATTTAATATTATTAATCTGAACCAGATAAATGATCATTTATTATTGATTATATTTAGTATTATTAATCTGAATCAGATAAATGATCATTTATTATTGATTATATTTAATATTATTAATCTGAATCAGATAAATGATCATTTATTATTGATTATATTTAATATTATTAATCTGAACCAGATAAATGTCTATAAACTGCAGTTTGACTGTTTTTACAGCAAAGAAGATTCAGAGTCACTGCTTCAAATGATGTTGTTGTTGTTGTTGTTGTTGTTGTTGTAGCATTGTTGTAATGCTGGAGTAATCTCTGTGCAGCTGGTCCGTACGGAGCTCAGCTCTCTGTCGTCTGTCCACTTTTGCCTTTTGTGGTCTCTGTGTGTGTGTGTGTGTGTACTGTGTGTGTGTGTTGTGTGTGTGTGTGTGTACTGTGTGTGTGTACTGTGTGTGTGTGTGTGTGTGTGTGACTGTGTGTGTGTACTGTGTGTGTGTGTGTGTGTGTGAGTGTGTGTGTACAGTGTGTGGTACTGTGTGTGTGTGTGTGACAGTGTGTGTGTGTGTGTGTGTGTACTGTGTGTGTGTGTGTGTGTGTGTGTGTGTGTGTGTGTGTGTGTGTGTGTGTGTGAGTGACAGTGTGTGAGTGTGTGTGACAGTGTGTGAGTGTGTGACAGTGTGTGTGTGAGTGTGTGTGTGTGTGAGTGACAGTGTGTACTGTGTGTGTGTGTGTGTGTGAGTGTGTGTGTGTGTGTGTGTGAGTGTGTGTGTGTGTGTGTGTGTGTGACAGTGTGTGTACTGTGTGTGAGTGTGTGTGTGTGTGACAGTGAGTGTGTGTGTGTGTGTGTGTGACAGTGAGTGTGTGTGTGTGTGTGACAGTGTGTGAGTGTGTGTGTGTGACAGTGTGTGTGACATGTGTGTGTGTGTGTGACAGTGTGTGTGTGTGTGTGACAGTGTGTGTACTGTGTGTGTGTGTGTACTGTGTGTGAGTGTACTGTGTGTGTGTGTGTGTGTGTGTACTGTGTGTGTGTGTGAGTGTACTGTGTGTGTGTGTACTGTGTGTGTGTGTGAGTGTACTGTGTGTGTGACAGTGTGTACTGTGTGTGTGTGTGTGTGTACTGTGTGTGTGTGTACAGTGTGTACAGTGTGTGTGTGTGTGTGTGTGTGGGTGTGTGTACTGTGTGTACTGTGTGTGAGTGTACTGTGTGTACTGTGTGTGAGTGTACTGTGTGTACAGTGTGTGTGACAGTGTGTACTGTGTGTGTGACAGTGTGTACTGTGTGTGTGACAGTGTGTACTGTGTGTGTGTGTACTGTGTGTGTACAGTGTGTGTACTGTGTGTGTGTGTGTGTTCCAGGAATAGAAGGAGGATCAGTGTCAGCAGTTTGTCTCTTTTATACTTTATACAACGAGTCCCAGTGACTCCGAGAGCTGCTGGTTCCTGTGGACCTGGACTCACTGCCGGTCCACTTTAGGACCTTTTAAGGTCAGGAATTCACAGCGTTCATTCATTCAGCTCCTGGAGCCGCTGCCCTCACAGGAAGTACACAGGAAGTACACAGGACTCGGACAGGAAGTACACAGGAAGTACACAGGAAGTACACAGGACTCGGACAGGAAGTACACAGGAAGTACACAGGAAGTCAGGTGTATCAGACCCGCAGACGTACATCCTCTCCTGGATCAGGTTTATGTGGTTTTGTTTCTGTCTCTAAAGACTACATTACCCATGAGCCTCTGCTCTGATTGAAGCTGCACATCGTTTTTTGGCTCAAACACATTAAAGAACTTTAAGCTCTGTGATTGGATGTGTCATGTTGCAATGCACCCTGGGAGTCGTAGTTGTCGTCGAGAGGCGTCCTGAAGCCAAACCAAATATTCAGACTGCAGAACCCGAGTGAAACATTCCTCACAGAACCAACAGAACACTGAAGAACCCCAGTTTCTCATTCTGGTTCTAATGGGTTCTACACTGGGGTTCTTTTAAAGGTCAGACTGGTTCTAATGGGTTCTACACTGGGGTTCTTTTAAAGGTCAGACTGGTTCTAATGGGGTTCTACACTGAGGGTTCTTTTAAAGGTCAGACTGGTTCTAATGGGTTCTACACTGGGGTTCTTTTAAAGGTCAGACTGGTTCTAATGGTTCTACACTGGGGTTCTTTTAAAGGTCAGACTGGTTCTAATGGGTTCTACACTGGGGTTCTTTTAAAGGTCAGACTGGTTCTAATGGGTTCTACACTGGGGTTCTTTTAAAGGTCAGACTGGTTCTAATGGGGTTCTACACTGGGGTTCTTTTAAAGGTCAGACTGGTTCTAATGGGTTCTACACTGGGGTTCTTTTAAAGGTCAGACTGGTTCTAATGGTTCTACACTGGGGTTCTTTTAAAGGTCAGACTGGTTCTAATGGGTTCTACACTGGGGTTCTTTTAAAGGTCAGACTGGTTCTAATGGGTTCTACACTGGGGTTCTTTTAAAGGTCAGACTGGTTCTAATGGGTTCTACACTGGGGTTCTTTTAAAGGTCAGACTGGTTCTAATGGGTTCTACACTGGGGTTCTTTTAAAGGTCAGACTGGTTCTAATGGGTTCTACACTGGGGTTCTTTTAAAGGTCAGACTGGTTCTAATGGGGTTCTACACTGAGGTTCTTTTAAAGGTCAGACTGGTTCTAATGGGTTCTACACTGGGGTTCTTTTAAAGGTCAGACTGGTTCTAATGGGGTTCTACACTGAGGTTCTTTTAAAGGTCAGACTGGTTCTAATGGGTTCTACACTGGGGTTCTTTTAAAGGTCAGACTGGTTCTAATGGGGTTCTACTGAGTTCTAATGGAGTCATATTGGTTTTATTTGTTATTATTAATAGTGTCTGTTCTACGGTGGTTCTAATGGGTCCAATAGGGTTCTTTTAAAAGGTCCCACTGATGTCCACCAGAGTTCTACTGGTTTAAACTGGTTCTAATGGTTCACTGTGTCACACAGGTTCTACTGAGGTTCTACTGAGGTTCTACAGTTCAGAGCGCTTTCAGCCGGCGGTCTCTGGAGGCGGGGCCTGCTGGTGAAAGCGCTCTGATTGGTGGAAGCAGAGACGAGGCGGGAGGCGTCAGATCGGCCACAGGCTTTTATTGCAAAGTGGCTTCCTGTGATCTCAGAAACAACGTTCCACTTTAAGGCTCCAGATGTCGTCGTGTTGTTGTTGTTGTTGTTGTTGTTGTTGTTGTCGTCGGGTCGTCTCTCACTGCTGGGGTCAAATCTGCTTCCTGTAGTGTTTCCTTACAAAATAAAAGTGCACTCTAACTAACTGGTGTGACGGTTACATTCAAACTGAAAGTAAGGCGACAAACAGCTGGAGTGGCGGCGAGTCCGACAGGAATGAAACGGTAAACAAACGTTAGCTCGGGGACACAAACACAGAACCTGTAGTGTAACACAAAGTGCTGGGTTAGATCTTCTTCTTCTCCTCTCAATGCATAGTCTAACAATACGTCTGCCTGGTTCGAACACACTGAAGAAGAAACAACAGTTTACAATAATAAATAAAGTCATATGGAAAAAGGAGGCGGAGCTTCGCGGCGCGGCGCTCGCCTCCCGCACGCGTGGCTGCTTCCTTCACATCGACTTTTTGGCAAAACTGTGGCTGCGAGAGAGACAACCGTCCCGGTAGTGAGTCAGTGTCTGTGTTTCCTTCTGCCAGGCGAGCAGACTGCGGCATCAGACGGGCGGCGTTTGCATATCGGTACGTTAATGAGACACAACAAGAATCCTTCAGGGCGGGAAAAAGCAAAAGGAACAGAAAGAGAACCGAGAGGCGTAAAGCGGCGAGCTCCTTCGGGGCGGGGGACAGAGAGCGAGCTGCTGGGTGAGGCGGTGTTCGGGGGTTCGATGCTTCGGTCCGATGGCACGGCGGTTGGCTCGGCTCCGCGTGGCTCGCCGCGGTGACATCACATCGGCTTGCCCTCCAGAGACACCACCACGTTCCCGCCCAGCTTCTCGGCCAGCGTGGTGCGGTCCTGGATGTCGTCCAGCCCGTTCACCTGCCACTCGTGTTTGATACCTGCGGACACAGAACACGCTGAGCACGCCGCCGGCCACAGCTCCGCTACGGGACTTCCTGTTTGTGATGTGTGACGTCATACTTTGTGGGTGGAGCCTAACTGGGGTCAGACAGCGGCGTTAAGCTAGCTGCAGGACGACAACGTCTCGCTATCATGCTAACGGTAGCAGGAAGCTACCGTTAGCATGATAGCTTAAACAGAGGAGACGTTAGCAGTAGCATTAGCAGTAGCATTAGCGTTAGCAGTAGCAGCTTAAATAGAGGAGATGTTAGCAGTAGCATTAGCAGCTTAAACAGAGGAGATGTTAGCAGTAGCATTAGCAGTAGTGTTAGCAGTAGCATTAGCAGTAGCATTAGCAGTAGCAGCTTAAATAGAGGAGATGTTAGCAGTAGCGTTAGCAGTAGCATTAGCAGCTTAAATAGAGGAGATGTTAGCAGTAGCATTAGCAGCTTAAATAGAGGAGATGTTAGCAGTAGCATTAGCAGTAGTGTTAGCAGTAGCATTAGCAGTAGCATTAGCAGTAGCAGCTTAAATAGAGGAGATGTTAGCAGTAGCATTAGCATTAGCAGTAGCGTTAGCAGTATGCTAATATAGTTTTGCTAACAGCGTCATACAGGTTGTTTATTGTCGTATCCTGTGGTTGCCGTGGTTACACAGCGCTGGGTGAGAACACCTTTACCAATACGTAATAATCTATAATCTATAATCTATAAGGATCAGTGGTGACCTCTGACCCCGGGCTGCTGGTCACATGACGACTCACCTGTAAACTTCTTCTTGATGGCGTCTTTAGAGCTGGCGTAGATCATCTTGCTCTTCAGTGGGGCGCCATCCGGAGCCCTGAGGGGGGGGGCAGATTATCTGATCCACTCATTGATCATTGATTATTGATCATTGATCATTGATCATTGATTATTGATTATTGATTATTGATTATTGATCATTGATTATTGATCATTGACCATTGATTATTGATCATTGATTATTGATCATTGATTACAGAGTCAGTTATTGATCTTGTTTTATCATATATATCATTATTTTTAATCATTAATCATTATCATTTATTATTGATCATTGATTACAGAGTCAGTACACTACCAGAAGATGAAGACGAGGTCCTCCTTCTTGGACTCCTTGGTCTCGTAGGTGGCGTCGTACAGGCCGTACCTGCAGTCGTTGAGGGGGAGGAGCTTAACGAAGTCGGCGTAGGGGTCGTCCACCGTCTCGCCGATGTCGCCCACCAGGATCTGCTTCCCCTCCTCCACGATGATCTTCTTCCTGTCGTCACTCAGACAGAACAGCACCGCCTTCTTCCTCTTCTTCACCTCGTCCTGGCTCGAAGACTTCCTCACCTTCATGTCATTGAACACCCGGATGACCTCATCGTTCACTGTGACACCTGACGCCTGCAAACACACAGCGATCAATCACTTTATTGATCCACTGACTGGATGATATTGATCAGAATACACTGTATCTTCATTGATTATTGATCAGAATACACTGTATCTTATTGATTATTGATCAGAATACACTGTATACACTGTATCTTCATTGATTATTGATCAGAATACACTGTATCTTCATTGATTATTGATCAGTATACACTGTATCTTTATTGATTATTGATCAGAATACACTGTATCTTTATTGATTATTGATCAGTATACACTGTATCTTTATAGATTATTGATCAGAATACACTGTATCTTTATTGATTATTGATCAGTATACACTATCTTCATTGATTATTGATCAGTATACACTGTATCTTCATTGATTATTGATCAGTATACACTGTATCTTTATGGATGATATTGATCAGAATACACTGTATCTTCATTGATTATTGATCAGTATACACTGTATCTTTATTGATTATTGATCAGTATACACTGTATCTTCATTATTCTGTATTATGACTGTGTGACGCCCGTTAGCCCGTTAGCTCGTTAGCTCGTGTTTGCGAGTATATTATTCTGTGACTTTAAATATATTAAATATAAACTTAAAAATATCCCAACAGTCAAAGTTATGAGATATTTCTCACTTTTTATCCAACCATGTTTATTTTATTTTAAGTGGCAGAAATGAGCTTCCATACATTATTATTGTTATTATTGATACAAAATATAAATCAATCAATAAACTCTGATAACAGTCATACTTCAGTGCTGTTGTTAAAATGTGATCTTTAGAATGGAGTTTGGTGGAGTTTAATGTTTGACTGCTGTTTGTTATTAGTTTGATTAATGCTTTAAGAATGGGTGTATTGATTATTGATCAGGCTGGTCATCGTGATCCATCCGTCAGTAACGAGACTCATCTGAACTCTTCCTGTTTGTCGATGTGTTGTTGTGTAAATAAAGTTTGAATGAATGGAGTTTGTTGGATCCATATGTTCAGAGACTGACCTCAGCTGATCAACAACTGATTGAAGATCAATATTTCTCACTGTATGTGTTCATGATTAAGTAATAATAATCACTATCAGCTGATCAATAATAATGATCAGGTATTTGGGGGGGGGGACATTTATTAAGAATAAATGAACTAATCACCGTTTTCACTATTGATTCATCTTCAGATCATATCAATATTGATATTGATTAGTCTGAACTCCTACTGCTTGAACTTTAAATAAACCTGATTTCTGCATTAAAACAACATATTATTATTAATGTTGTTATAATTCGTTATTATTATTAATCATTTTATTATTGAAATAATTGTATCTGATCATTTTGAAATATGACTAAACTATGAAATATTATTATTATTATTATTATTATTATTATAATAACAACAACTACAGAGATATTTTATTATCATCTAGTTTTTTATGTTTTTGGCCTTAATGAGCTTCCCTACTTTGACATTATTGATCGAAACTGGTAATCAATAAATAAACTGGTGTTTAAACTGGGTCGTGGTCAGATCGTGGTCTTGGTGACGGTCAGTAGAGGCCTGTAGACAGACTGCAGAGTCACTGTCTGTCTGTCTGTCTGCCTGTCTGTCTGCCTGTCCGTTAACGAACCCGGACTAGACTCGACCCTCCTGAACCCGCTCCCTCAGCCGAACCATTTGATTCTGGTCCGATGAGTCCAGCTGTCCCGGTTGGGTCCGGGTCCGGCTCTCGGTCCCAGCAGGACCACCGCGGGACTAAGATGGCCGCCCCGGGCCACACGGCCTGGAGGCAGGCCCGGCCCCGGTCCCAAGCGGCTCCGCTACAAGACCAGAACCGGCAGAGGCTCCGGTACGGGGACCGGATCAGACTCTGGTACCTGGAGACGGTTCTGAGTGACGTCAGCACCGAGTAACGGTCGCTAACGGTCGCCAACGGCCGCTAACGGCTGCTCCTCACGGGAGCGGCAGCCATGATAGATCTCACATAACGGTCCTCCTCACGACCCGGACCCGGACCCGGACCCACACCGTCCGGATCACACACAACGATACCGACCCGGGTCTCTCTCTAACGCCGGTTCTTACCATGTTTGTCCCGGTTCGTCCCGATCCGTCCCGATCCGAGTCTCTCTGAGGAAGGTAGCGGGAATGTGTCTGTGAGCGGAGGAAGAGGAGGAGGAAGAGGAGGAGGGAGGGGAGGAGGGAGGAAGGAGGGCAGGGGAGGAGGGAAGGGGAGGAGGAGGAGGAGGAGGAGGGGAGGAGGAAGAGGAGGAAGAGGAGGAGGAAGAGGAGGAAGAGAAGGAGGAGGAGGGAGGGGAGGAGGAAGAGGAGGAGGAGGAGGAGGGAGGGGAGGACTGACGTAATCAGCTGTTACACAAAGTATCCAGTTACTGAGAAAATAGTTACAGTTGCTGCTCTCTAAAGTAATGGATTACTTTTCTCATTACTGCAGATATCAGTAATCAGTTACTGGGTAAATGTTATTGATCCTCCAGACCAGCAGGAGGCAGCACCGACTCAACACTGCACACTGTATGGAAGCTCTTCTAACTCAATAATACATATAAATATAATAATACACAATAATAATTAATATAATTATAATAATACACAATAATAATTAATATAATAATAATACATAATAATAATTAATATAATAATACACAATAATAATTAATATAATAATAATACATAATAATAATTAATATAATCATAATAATACACAATAATAATTAATATAATCAAATACATACACAATAATAAGTAATATAATAATAATAATACATAATAATAATTAATATAATAATACACAATAATAATTAATATAATAATAATACATAATAATAATTAATATAATAATACACAATATTAATATAATAATAATACACAATAATAATTAATATAATAATACATAATAATAATTAATATAATAATAATACATAATAATAATTAATATAATAATAATAATAGACAATAATAATTAATATAATAATAATAATAGACAATAATAATTAATATAATAATAATACATAATAATAATTAATATAATAATTATAATACACAATAATAATTAATATAATCATAATAATACACAATAATTAATATAATAATAATACATAATAATAATTAATATAATAATAATAATACACAATAATAATTAATATAATAATAATTAATATAATAATTAATATAATAATACACAATAATTAATATAATAAAATATAATAATAATTAATATAATAATATATAATAATAATTAATTTAATAATAATACATAATAATAAATATAATAATACATAATAATTAATATAATAATAATTAATATAATAATAATACATAATAATTAATATAATAATAATACATAATAATTAATATAATAATAATACATAATAATATAATAAAACATAATAATTAATATAATAAAAATACATAATAATTAATATAATAATAATACATAATAATTAATATAATAAACCATAATAATAATTATTATAATAATTATTATACATAATTAATATAATAATAATAATACATAATATAATAATCTATATAAAGGCAAACTTTAAATCTCATATCTGTGACCGTTACCTCACTTCCTGTATGTATATTACAGACACAGACAGACAGACAGACAGACAGACGCTGGTTATAAAAGTCATTTATTTTTACATCAGAACAACAAACAGGTTAAAGAGCGTCGGAGGCAGAAGGCGTCTATCCATCATAAATAAACAACTTACAGACTTGAACTAAATAAATACGCTGCAGTGGCGGCGGCGGCGGCGGCGGCTCCAGTGTAGTGTCCACAGCTGACCTCCATCCACACACACTAACACACACTGACTGAGCTGCAGCAGTCGCACTAACATCACAGAAGAAGAACAACAGAAGAACGCGTCAAACAAAAAAACACAAAAACAAAAAAACAGCCTAAAGCAGGAAAACGTCGCAGTAGTCAAAATACAAAGAAACTACAAATCCACAGAGGCCACAGCAGCTCCGGTTCTTAAAGGGACAGTGCATTATTTTCTTTGTTAGGGTGATCAGTCTCAGGTCTGCAGGCTAGTTGTTTCCCTCTGCTTCAAGTCTTTATGCTAAGCTAAGCTAACTACAGACATAAGAGCGACATCCACTGAAAGAAAGTGAACGTCCTCGAGGTAACAAACGGTCTGAGGTCAGGGATTGATTTAATTCTCAATAATAATATTAACAACCAATTAATCAATTAATCACTTTCTGTGGGAAACAGGAAGTCAGGGGGCGGGGCCTGTTTAGGGGCGGGGCCTGTATGACCTCGTTAACAGTTTGTTATCTCGAGATTAAAATAATCTGGTTTCTATGGAAGTCTGAGGCTGCCAAAATAAGAAGTTAATTCAACTTTTTGTTCATTTTGAGCCGACAGCGTACGACAGAATTACTGAAGGTTAAAAAAAATCTTGCGTCTGATTGGTCAATGATCAGGATGTCGTAAAAAGTGTCGGACTTTCACATATTTGTAAAACACATAATGTTAGCAAAACGCTACCTAATGGAGTTAGCTAGCATTTCTGATATCCAACTTTATTAAAACGCTAACTACATTCATCATTAGTTACGACTGATAACTAATGTTATTAAAATGTTAGTTACGTACCGAACAACTGATGTAGATTAGCAAACTAGTTAGCTAGCACTGTGCTAACATTAGCCAACCTAAGATGTGACTATATTTATGTCTCTAATCTTTTAACCATCTTCAAACTGTTGTTGTCTTTTCAACATAGATTAGCTTAGCATATAGCATATCTAAGCGCAGGAAAGGAGGAAGTCAAGGCTTGCTCAACTGTGATTGGAGCACAGAGCAAAAAGGGGGCGGGGCTTAGGCTTATCCAGGCAGTCATTTCTAACATAAAAATAAAAACGAATTTCCGTCTTTAAATTTCAATGAGTTTGAATTTTGGCCTCCACAGACTTCCATAGGTTTTTGATATTTCGTTGCCGTGGCGACGCTCTGTAAAAACCAGCTGCACTGTTAGAAAATATTTCTCATTCAGATCCAAACTTTTGTCCCTGAGCAAACACGAACGGCCCGATCAGATTGTTTTAATTGTCAGTGCAAAGCTGAAGTTTGTTTAGTGGTTTCAGACTGCCTGTCTCACTGTCTCTACTGCCTGTCTCACTGTCTCTACTGCCTGTCTCACTGTCCTACAGCACCACAGGAATGTCTGCTACTTGTCTCCCGTCCACATAGACAGGAAGGAAATGCCCTGAACGTCAGCAGGTCGGAGGGAAAATCTACTCCACAACTTTCTACTCATCAACTCAAACTATCTTCCAGAAGGTTTCTAATGTTCCACGATGACCTCTGACCCCGGCCCTCCACCAACGGCGGCCTCACGGGGGTCAGAGGTCATGAAGGAGTGTCACCGTGTCAGTCCATCGGGAGGGGAAAAACGGCTCAGACTGCAGCTCGTCCCCAGAACCAATCAGCAGAGTGGACGGCGGCGAGTTTGGAGGGGTGCGTTTGGTTCAGTGGCGGGAGCGTTTGGCGGGCGGGGTGGCGCCGCGCTCCGGGAGGCCGAGTCTGCTGAGCTCCGAGTGGAAGAACGCCTGCAGGCGGTGACCGGCCTTCGCCTCGTTAGTGTGGCGAGGATTGTACTGCAGACAGTTGGAGAACATCAGGTCCACGTCTGAGATATACTCACCTGGAGGAGAGAGACGGGAGGAGACAGAGAGAGAGAGAGAGAGAAAGACGGGAGGAGAGAGAGAGACAGAGAGAGAGAAAGACGGGAGGAGAGAGAGAGACGGAAGGAGACAGAGAGAGAGAAAGACGGGAGGAGACAGAGAGAGAGAGAGAGAGAGACAGAGAGAGAGAGAGAGAGACAGAGAGAGACAGAGACAGAGAGAGAGACAGAGAGAGAGAGAGAGAGAGAGAGAGACAGAGAGAGAGAGAGAGAGAGAGAGAGAGAGAGAGAGACAGAGAGAGAGAGAGACAGAGAGAGAGAGACAGAGACAGAGAGAGAGAGAGAAGACATTAGATTTCTGTTAGCCGCTGACACTTTAAAGTCAGTCAAACTCTTTAGATGTTTCACATTAAAAGCATCTGTACAGGAAGTGTTGTTCCTGTCTGACTTCCTGTGTGAGGATAAATATATGTGATCACATTATTGATTATTGATTATTATCCATACCTGCTGTCTGATATTCACAGTTGTTCACTTTCTCTCTGATCGTACTGAGGGCGATCGGCTGCTGGATGATGTCATAGTAGTCAGGGACCTGCAGACAGGTGGACAGACAGACAGGTACCTGAGTATCCACGTGTGTGTGTGTGTGTGTGTGTGTGTGTGTGTGTGTGTGTGTGTGTGTGTGTGTGTGTGTGTGTGTGTACCTGAGTCCTGGACACCAGCTTCATGAAGGGCCAGCTGTCCTCGTGTCTCACCAGCTCCACAGTCAGCTGCTCGCAGGCTGACAGCTCGTGGACGCCGTGGTTCCTGCCAGAGGAGCGCCGGCTTGAGGAGGAGGAGGAGGAGGAGGAGGAGGAGGAGGGGAGGACGGGTTTGGAGGGTTTAGGAGGGGGAGCCACATCTGGAGCAGAGGAGGGAGGTCAGAGGTTACTGGTTGTTTACCTGTTGACTGACTGTATGTTTACCTGTTGACTGACTGGTTGTTGACTTACATGACTGGATGTTTGAGGATGTTACGGAGGGAGGTCAGACTGGTTTTTTCCCCTTAACTTACTGGTTGTTTACCCGTTGACTGACTGGTTGTTTACCTGTTGACTGACTGGTTGTTTACCTGTTGACTGACTGTTGTTGACTGGATGTTTACCTGTTGACTGACTGGTTGTTTGACTGGATGTTTACCTGTTGACTGACTGGATGTTTACCCGTTGACTGACTGGATGTTTGACTGGATGTTTACCCGTTGACTGACTGGTTGTTTACCCGTTGACTGACTGGTTGTTTACCCGTTGACTGACTGGATGTTTACCTGTTGACTGACTGGTTGTTTACCTGTTGACTGACTGGTTGTTTACCTGTTGACTGACTGGTTGTTTGACTGGATGTTTACCTGTTGACTGACTGGATGTTTACCCGTTGACTGACTGGATGTTTGACTGGATGTTTACCCGTTGACTGACTGGTTGTTTACCTGTTGACTGACTGGTTGTTTACCTGTTGACTGACTGGTTGTTTGACTGGTTGTTTACCTGTTGACTGACTGGTTGTTTGACTGGATGTTTACCTGTTGACTGACTGGATGTTTACCCGTTGACTGACTGGATGTTTACCTGTTGACTGACTGGATGTTTACCCGTTGACTGACTGGTTGTTTACCTGTTGACTGACTGGATGTTTACCTGTTGACTGACTGGATGTTTACCCGGCTGACTGACTGGTTGTTTACCTGTTGACTGACTGGTTGTTTGACTGGTTGTTTACCTGTTGACTGACTGGTTGTTTGACTGGATGTTTACCTGTTGACTGACTGGATGTTTACCTGTTGACTGACTGGATGTTTACCCGTTGACTGACTGGTTGTTTACCTGTTGGCGGTCTCTTGCGGGGCTCGCTCTGACCAGGTGAGGTCTTGCTGTTTGCCGGCAGGATCTCGTGGCTCAGACGGGCACTGACCCGACTCCCAGAGCGGGGCGGAGCTTTACCGCCAGACGTCATGTTGGCCTTCACTGTGGGGGGCGTGGCCTTCTTCCCTGAGGACCTGTGATTGGACAGAATCAGTAAACTGGGACCAGTTAAAGTAAACTGGGATCAGATCTACAACAGATACTGACCTGGATGCTGATGATGAGTTCTTCCCTGCTGAGGTGGTGCTGTTCTTGGGCGTGGCCTGTTGCCCCCTGGGCGTGGCCTGTTGCCCCCTGGGCGTGGCCTGTTGGTTCTTCCCTTTGGGGGGCGGGGCCAGGCTCCTCTTGGTGCTGCAGAGGGAGAGAGGAGGACTTCCTGTTTGAGGCTGATCTGGGTTCAAATATTGGACCAGGTTCAAATATTTCCTCACTTACCTCACTACTACTACTTCTTCCTCCTCCTCTTCCTCCTCCTCCTCCTCTGACTCCTCCTCCTCCTCCTCTGACTCCTCCTCTTCGTCTTCTGATTCCTCCTCCTCTGACTCCTCCTGTTCTTCATCCTCGTCTTCGTCCTCCTCCTCATCAATAGAAGAGCGCTGACGGGACGGGAGGCGGCTGGATCTCTGTTTGGGTCGACAGTCTGGACAGAACCAGTCGCCCTCTGGAACCGACTGAGAGACAACAGACAGTTTTTATCTCCTCCGGTTTCTGTCCGACACTATTACACTAATAACTAACCAACCAACACTAATGCTGCGTCCAATCAAACTCTCTCTCTCTTCTGACGCTGTCGGAGCGTTTCTGAGGGTCGTTACAGACAATCTATGACCTCACTGAGTACAAAGACCCCTGGCTCAGGGCCTCAGACAGTGGGTGTGGTCTGTGTGTACCTGCAGGGGGGCCTCAGACAGTGGGTGTGGTCTGTGTGTACCTGCAGGGGGGCCTCAGACAGTGGGTGTGGTCTGTGTGTACCTGCAGGGGGGCCTCAGACAGTGGGTGTGGTCTGTGTGTACCTTGAGGCGGGGCCTCAGACAGTGGGTGTGGTCTGTGTGTACCTGCAGGGGGGCCTCAGACAGTGGGTGTGGTCTGTGTGTACCTGCAGGGGGGCCTCAGACAGTGGGTGTGGTCTGTGTGTACCTAGGGGGTGAAGTGGGTGTGGTCTGATTGAGGCGGGGCCTCAGACAGTGGGTGTGGTCTGTGTGTACCTGCAGGGGGCCTCAGACAGTGGGTGTGGTCTGTGTGTACCTTGAAGCGGGGCCTCAGACAGTGGGTGTGGTCTGTGTGTACCTGCAGGGGGCTCAGACAGTGGGTGTGGTCTGTGTGTACCTGCAGGGGGGCTAGACAGTGGGTGTGGTCTGTGTGTACCTGCAGGCGGGGCCTCAGACAGTGGGTGTGGTCTGTGTGTACCTTGAGGCGGGGCCTCAGACAGTGGGTGTGGTCTGTGTGTACCTGAGGCGGGGCCTCAGACAGTGGGTGTGGTCTGTGTGTATGCAGGGGGCCTCAGACAGTGGGTGTGGTCTGTGTGACCTGCAGGGGGCTCAGAAGTGGGTGTGGTCTGTGTGTACCTTGAAGCGGGGCCTAGACAGTGGGTGTGGTCTGTGTGTACCTGCAGGGGGCTCAGACAGTGGGTGTGGTCTGTGTGTACCTGAGGCGGGGCCTCGACAGTGGGTGTGGTCTGTGTGTACGCAGGGGGCTAGACAGTGGGTGTGGTCTGTGTGTACCTGAGGCGGGGCCTCGACAGTGGTGTGGTCTGTGTGTACCTGAGGCGAGGCCTCAGACAGTGGGTGTGGTCTGTGTGTACCTGAGGCGGGGCCTCAGACAGTGGGTGTGGTCTGTGTGTACCTTGAGGCGGGGCCTCAGACAGTGGGTGTGGTCTGTGTGTACCTTGAGGCGGGGCCTCAGACAGTGGGTGTGGTCTGTGTGTACCTTGAGGCGGGGCCTCAGACAGTGGGTGTGGTCTGTGTGTACCTTGAGGCGGGGCCTCAGACAGTGGGTGTGGTGTCCTCGGTCACAGCTGTCACACAGCAGCATGTTGTCAGCATCTCCTTTGCGCCTGCAGATGCGACAGCGAGCGTTGAGGACGGAGCGAGACCACAGGACGCTTCTCTCCAGACTGGACAGGTGGACAAACACCTGGACAGACATCAGTGTTAATCACAGACTCACTGCAGAGATATGAACACTCACTGATAAAGTCACATTCAGGAGGATCTTAACGGCTCGAGGTCTCTAAATCTCTGATCCATCCAATAAGTATGATTGCTACTTTTAAAGACTTTTTAATGTGACATCTGTTTCCACCTTTTAATGTCAGCGGCACAAACAGACTATATCTACACCTGCTGCTACACCTGCTGCTACACCTGCTGCTACACCTGCTGCACACAAACATCACGTATAAAAATGCCTTGAAGAACCGTTCAACACGTCACGGTTCTTATTGCGAACAGCCAATGAGAGCACAGTTTCTGACCTGAGACAGACTGGAGCAGGACTGCAGAGATTCCCTCCATCGCTCCAACACTGTCTTACTGACCCGACCGCTTTCGCTACCATCTGACAGACAGACAGACAGACAGACAGACAGACAGACAGGGATTAAACTCTTATGAAATGAAATATGAATTATTCGCTCTCTAATTAAACAGGAAGTTGTACCGTCACTGGCCTGGTCCTCGTCTTTCTTCTTGTTCTTCTTCGTCTTCTGGTCTTTCTTTGAGTCTTCCTCACCTGTGGGGGGAGGAGCCAGTTGTTGTACAATAAAGCAGCACACATACGCCTGTACCTTTAATATTTGATGGTTAATTCATTAATGCCATGTGTCCATTGGGTTCCACTAGCATTTTGCTAAAGTGGACTGTAAACTTATACTGTGTGTTATGGTCTGTTCCTGCAGAGATCCTCTATACGAGCTCAGATTCCAGACCTTTCCAGACCTTTCCAGACCTGGAGAGAGACTCACCCAGCGGAGCTTTGAGGAAGCGCCTCTCGATGCCTTGCTCGATGTGAACGAGGGCCTGAGCCAGGATTCGTACCGAGCTGCTGACCACCTGAGGAGTCCCACTGCCGCTGCACGAGGCCGCGCCATTAGACTTCAGCTCCTGCAGCCTGGAACACACACAGGAAGTTAAACACACGCAGCTCTACGGTGCGACGGCGCCCTCTAGCTGCAGTCATTCCCAGAGACACAAACACATTTGCAGAATTTCTTCCTCATGCTAATTTATAAACTATTTAAGGAACGAGAGCTTAAACTTTAACACATTCTGGCTCATTCTGCTCGTTTCATTCATAAAGAAGTGAGTGTTCTTCACACTCACAGAAGCAGAACGACTGAATACAGCTCCACACTGTACCTGTCTGTCTACCTGTGCATCGGTCTACCTGTCTCTGGCTCTCAGGTGGGCAGGTGAGTCCACCTCCATGGCGTCCTCTCTTCCGTTCATCCCTCCGTTGTCTCTGCCGTCAGAACACAGCAGCTCGTAGTTTCCTGCTTCCAGTGCCGAGCGCCATACCTGTCTGTCCATCACCTGAACACACAGACAGACACAGAGAGAGACAGACAGGTGAGTGTGATGTTACCTGCTGTGTCTGCAGGTGTGTGTGTGTGTGTGTGTGTGTGTACCTTTAAAGTTCCCAGAGTTCCCTGGTGGATTCGGTCCTCAATGTCCAGCAGCAGGTCTCTCAGTCTGACCTCCATCAGAACATCAGCTGCAGCAGTGCATTCTGGGACAGATCGGGATGACTCTGGATCGTCTGAGCAGACGGGACAGATGTGTGTTTACAGGTGGTTTACCTGTCCTTATTTATCCTGTGTGTGTGTGTGTGTGTGTGTGTGTACCTGTGTGTCTGTATTTGTTCCTGTCGCAGTCCTGCAGCAGGTGTTGCAGTCTCTCCCTCTCCTGCAGCAGCACCTCCTTCAGGCTGCTTTCCCGGTGACCCCGAGGGTTCAGAGCCTCGATCAGCTGATCCACCTCCTCCAGCGAGCTGTAGAAGGACCACTGGTTGGGACGTTTGAGTGGCAGTGCACAGGTGAGGAGGGGGGCGGGGCTTGAGCCAGCGCTGTACAGCAGAGAGTTTTACAGTCATTAGGAACCGCCCTGAACACCGGAGCTCCTCCTCTCTAACACCCGGGACCAGAGACCTACCTTCCCTCTGCAGCCTCCTCCTTCACCACCTCCTCGTCCTCCATCTTGATTGTGGGGTCCTGTCTGGGTTTAGGGCGCGGGTGCAGCATGTCCTCCGTCAGGCCGAAGCAGTCGTCCTCTACAAACAGAGTGGAGGCCGAGGGGAGGAGCCAGTAGCGGCGGTACAGACGGTCTCGGCCCAGAGGCAGCAGGCAGGTGCAGGCCGCTGCCTTCTGGATCCGCTCCTGCAGCTCTCGAACCTGCGAGGTTGGACAAACAGATCACACTGATTCTGCTGAGTCACTGGTGTGTGTGTGTGTGTGTGTGTGTGTGTGTGTGTGTGTGTAGTCAGTAATGTGACTGCTGGACTTTATCAGGAGTCTCTGAAAGTGTCCTGAGAGAACATCTGCTTGGTGCTATACAAACAACAACAATAATAATAACCTTCTCCTGCTCGCTCTCCAGCTCCTCTGCAGTCAGGCTGGTGGGGGGGCAGGCAGGTGCTTTGGGGTCAGAGCTCATCGGCTGCTGTTTGTCTTTCTGGTTGAGTTTAGCTGGAGGACAGAGGACGCACTCATGACTCAGCAGAAAACAGTGAAAACAGGTCAAATATAATGTTTTAATTTTGTACCTTTCATCATTTTCTTGCTGTTGTTGGACGAAGAGTTCTGCTCCTTGTCTTCCTCAGCGGTTCGTCCTACAGGAGTCTCACTGCAGACAGAAACACACACCGTTACAGCTGCAGGGGGAACGCCTCCATTAGCTTTATCACAAACCATGTTTGTCTACCTGTTTGTTTGGAGGCCTCCCTTCACCTCCTGCTCCTTCAGCCTCTCCTCCTGCTCCTTCAACCTCTGCTCCTGCTCCTTCAGCCTCTGCTCCTGCTCCTTCAGCTTCTCCTCTTTACGAAGACGAACCCTGAAAAAGAGTAGAGGAGGAAGGACACATCAGGGTGGGAGTTGAACAGTAAAGTTCATCCTATCACAACGTGCCTGCTGATAATGTCACAACCTGCCCTCTGTGTGTGTGTGTGTGTGTGTGTGGTACACAGTGTTTCCTCTAGGATTTTTTTTAGCAGCTGAGAACTGACAAGTTGAACGTTAATTAATTACGTCCAATTAAAACGGACCCACCGCGGTGACGTTTTTGGTGGAGCTGTTAGTTTAATAGTCGACTTGGAAGAAAGAGAACGTTTTGACAATAAGCTCCATCAACACAACAGTATGTGGAGTTAAACTGGACCGCCCCAATAACCTCTGAATAGTTCTACTTAAACTGCACTGTGAGCGGCAGCCAGCGGGGGGCATTATGTCAGCAGGATCATTTAAAAGGCAACCGGGACTACATTGTTCGTCTGCCCCATTTCTGATACCGTGGCGGCAGAAATTTAACAGCGGGGGGCCGCTGCTCCAAAATCACCGTAGAGGAAACACGGTGTACAGTGTGTACAGTGTGTGTGGCACAGTGTGTGTGTAGTACAGTGTGTGTGTGTACAGCGTGTGTACAGTGTGTGTGTGTACAGTGTGTAGTACAGCGTGTGTACAGTGTGTGTACAGTGTGTGTACAGTGTGTGTGTAGTACAGTGTGTTGTACAGCGTGTGTACAGTGTGTTGTACAGCGTGTGTACCTGTGTGCGGCCTCCTCTCTCTCTCTGCGGTGTTGTTCAGCTCTAATCTCTCTCAGTTCCTGTCTGGCGGCTCGTTGCTCCTCCACACAATCTTCAATCAGATCTCTGCTGGACGCCAACGTCAGCAGCTTCCCCACCAGAGCCTGCAGGATCCTCAGCTTCTCCCCTACAAACAGATCAATAACTGATCAATAACTCATCAATACACATCCAGAGCCTGCAGGATCCTCAGCTTCTCCCCTAAAAACAGATCAATAACCGATCAATAACTCATCAATACACATCCAGAGCCTGCAGGATACTCAGCTTCTCCCCTAAAAACAGATCAATAACTCATCAATAACCATTCGATAACTGATCAGTAATCAATCATTGCAGCTGACCTGGTGTCAGGTCGTACACCGGTGTGCTCGACAGCCTCTTCAGCAGCGCCGGCTCGGCCAATCGCAGCTCGACACATGGGTCGTCCATCAGCGTGAACCCGCCCTGCTTCTGGTAGCGGAACTTGGCGTTGCCGTGGTAACAGTCGGCGCCGGATGCCAGGATGTGCAGCCGCAGGATTTCTGACAGCGTGCAGCTGTCCAGGTCCAACTGCTTCAGACTGCAGCCCTGATGCAGCTGAGGCCATGCCGCAGCCAACGAAGCCACGGCGCTCAGAGCCGACTGAGTGGCATCAGAGTCGTCCTCCAGAGCCTCCGACAGGTCTGCACGTAAACAAACAAACAATGATATACACACACACACACACACACACACACACACACACACACACACACACACACACAGACACAGACACACAGACAGACAGACAGACAGTTGAACTGTCTGTCAGGTGACCAAGCCGTCCAATCACTGACCTTCAACCTGGTCTTTAGCCACCTCCTCCTGCTCCTCATCCAGAGCCTGAAAGATGGCCGACAGGAAGAAGAACAGCAGCTCACACAGAGGGCCTTCAGGGTCAGAACTCACCAGAGCCTCCTCTAGAACCTCTGGGGAGAGAGAACATCTGCTAGAACCAACACAACTTCCAGAACCTCTACAGAGAGGGTTGGAATAAACTAGTATAAGCACAGTACACAGGGTTTCCTCTAGGTTTTTTTAGCAGTGGGGGCAGGCCCGTCCGAACACCCCCCATCGGCAAACGTTCTTCTGTTAAGCTGAGCACTGACAATGTTGAACGTGTCAGCCAAAACGGCCCCCCCGGTGACGTTTTTGGTGGGGCTGTTAGTTTAATAGTCGACTCGGCAGAAAGCAAATTTTGACATTAAGCTCCATCAACACATCAGTAGTTGAGAAACCGGCCAAAACCAATAGTTACTTAAACTGAATGTGGCAGCCGGGGGGGGGGCATTATGTCAGCAGGATCATTTAAAAGGAAACCGGGACTACATTGTGCGTCTGCCCCATTTCTGATACCGTGGCGGCAGAAACTTAACAGAGGCGGGCCGCCGCTCCAAAATCACCATAGAGGAAACACTGGTATAGGTCCAGAAACAGTTAGAACCAAGAGAACCTCTAGAACATCATTTAGATCCAGGTAGAACCTTGATTTCAATCCCACAGAACCTCTATAAGATACCCAATTAAATTATGAATTTAACCAAGAACACTCAGACATTTCAATCAACCAAAGCTGAAGAACGGACCTTTGCTAGAACCAACAGAACATTTGTTAGAATCCACGTAACCTGCAGAACTTCTATTAGATCTCAAAACCTTGGTATGGTTCTGTTTAGAGAAAGTGTGTTCTAACCCAGAGAGACTCCATCAGGGAACTCGTCCTTCAGGTCAAAGACCTCGCCAAAGGCCCGCAGGAACTCCAGAACCATCAAAGCTTCTCCAAACAACTCTGCCGGAAGACGGGTCCTCACTGGAACCGGACTGGGAAGATCCTAGTAGAACCAACACACACAAGAACAGATCCTGGTTCAGAAGAGAACATCATCAATAAAGCTTTACCTCATAATTAAATGAACCTTTATTGACACAGAACAGTTCCTGAGGAGGTTCTGTGGTGCGTTCACTGACCTTCAGGTCTTCACACTCCATGTCTTCTCTGGGTTTGTTCCACAGTTTCAGTCGTTCAGCGTATTTCTTCTTCTCCTCCTTCAGCTTCTCACGTTCCTGGAAAGCAGAGCAAAAATCAAAGGTTATTGTTAATAATAATAAAAACAACAACAACAACAACAACAACAACAAGAGTCACCCTCTCTTTCTCCAGCTTCCTGCGCTCCTTCTCCTCCCTCCTCTTCTGTTTCTCCTCCTCAAACCTCCTCCTCTGCTCCTCCTTCAGCCTCTCTTTGTCCTCCCTCTCCCTCCTCTTAGCCTCCTGCGCCTCCTCCTTCTCCTTCTTCAGCCGAGCTTTGTCCTGAGCTGCGGCTGCCATCTCCTCCCTCTGCTGCAGCAGCTTCAACTTCTCCGCCGCCTTCAGCAGTGACGACCCCGCCTGAACGCACCACAGATCACTGATCAATAACATCAATATAGAAAACATCATCATCTAAATATAGAACATGTTAGTGAGCGAGCTCTCACCTGTCCAGGTGAGCCCCGCCCTCCACCCTTAGGGGGGGGGCTGAAGGGGAACTGAGGGGGCTCATCAGGGAAAAACTGAGAGAAGGTTTGTTCAGACAGCCGGAACTTCGCCACTGTGGAGGGCTGAGAGACAGGAAGTCATCATTTATACACAGGAAGTCATCATCCACACACACACACACACACACACACACACACACACACACACACACACACACTGTAGTACAGTGTGTAGTACAGTGTGTACCTTCAGTGCAATGGTTCCATTCACAGGTTCACAGTGTTGTTTAAACAGCAGCTTCAGTCTCTCTTTGGATACAGTCGTCTTCCTACGACTGAACAAACAAACAAACAAACAAACAAACATCAACACAACATTAAATAAACAGCTGCTCTCAGTGTACACAGCGCTCATTGTCTCCAAAGATCTGATCATTAGTCTGAGGAAACTATCTGTTACCATCATATCTCAGAATGACCCCATCAGCTGGAGCATAATCTATATACATATAACATCTGCCCTGTGCACTGTTATGAATATTGATCTATTGATTGAGCTATTGATCAACAATATTGATACAGGATGGATGATGTCAGTCTGCTCACCTGATCTGATTGGCTTTGACAGTGAACGGCTCACTGTGTTCGTCCTTCATCATCCTCACTGTGTATTTAAACACTGACGGACTCAGAGGCTTCTTCTTCCTGCTGAGAGAGACACACACACACACACACACACACACACACACACACACACACACACACACACACACACACACACACACACACACACACACACACACACACACACACACGTTACTAACAACCATCTGCTGCTGATCTCTGCAGGTAAAAGAGCTCAAACACTGAACTAAACACAGCGTATCAGTGAGGAGGAACCAGGACTCTTTAGAGTTCACACTATAAAATATGTGGTCTAATGAGGAGCTAACAGGAGCTAACAGACAGCATGTAAACACAATAGCAGTATGATGGTTTTAGCATCATTGACCAGTGACCTTTGACCTACTGACCCATTGATGGTTGCCGTGGGACTCTGGAAGGCTTTGCTCTCGTCGTCGCTGTCACTGATGATGATGGCGTCACCGTCAGCCGGTTTGGCATGGCCATTAGCGGCCGGCGCTCCGTTAGCGCTGGAATGAGGAGAGTGAACCTGCAGGATCTCACACACATGTCTGCAGACAGACAGATACACAGACAGACAGACACACAGACAGACAGACAGACAGACACACAGACAGACACAGACAGACAGACACACAGACAGACACACAGACAGACAGACAGACACAAGACAGACACACAGACAGACAAAACAACAAAACAACAGACAGACAGACAGACAGACAGACAGACACACAGACAGACACAGACAGACAGATACACAGACAGACAGACAGACACACAGACAGACACAAACAACACACAAAACAACAACACACAACAGACAGACAGACACACAGACAGACACACAGACAGACACAGACAGACAGACAGATACACAGACAGACAGACAGACACACAGACAGACAGACAGACAGACAGACAGACAGACACACAGACAGACACAGACAGACAGACACACAGACAGACAGACAGACAGATACACACAAACAAAAAAAAAAAAACACAGACAGACAGACAGACAGACAGACAGACAGACACACAGACAGACACAGATACACAGACAGATACACAGACAGACAGACACTTGTTAGCAGCAGTAAGACCACCAGCTGCTCTCTACCTGTGTACAGTGATGTTCTGTATGAGGGATAAGAAAGTTATCAGGACATAATAGACGTCAGGGAGGTCAGAACCAGTGAACAGTAAAAATAATGTACCAGTAGCGTAAAGGTAAAGGTAAAGGTGATGTAAAGGTAAAGGTAAAGGTGATGTAAAGGTAAGGTAAAGGTGAGGTAAAGGTAAAGGTGGTGTAAAGGTAAAGGTGAGGTAAAGGTGAGGTAAAGGTAAAGGTAAGGTAAAGGTAAAGGTAAAGGTGAGGTAAAGGTGAGGTAAAGGTAAAGGTAAAAGTAAGGTAAAGGTGGTGTAAAGGTAAAGTAAAGGTGAGGTAAAGGTAAAGGTAAAAGTAAGGTAAAGGTGGTGTAAAGGTAAAGTAAAGGTGAGGTAAAGGTAAAGGTGGTGTAAAGGTAAAGGTAAGGTAAAGGTGAGGTAAAGGTAAAGGTGAGGTAAAGGTAAAGGTGAGGTAAAGGGGATATAAAGGTAAAGGTGAGGTAAAGGTAAAGGTGAGGTAAAGGTGAAGTAAAGGTAAAGGTGAGTTAAAAGTAAAGGTGAGGTAAAGGTAAAGGTAGTAAAGGTAAAGGTGAGGTAAAAGTAAAGGTAAAGGTGAGGTAAAGGTAAGGTAAAAGTAAAGGTGAGGTAAAAGTAAAGGTAAAGGTGAGGTAAAAGTAAAGGTAAAGGTGAGGTAAAGGTAAAGGTGAGGTAAAAGTAAAGGTAAGGTAAAGGTAAAGGTGAGGTAAAGGTAAAAGTAAAGGTGAGGTAAAAGTAAAGGTAAAGGTGAGGAAAAGAAAGGTAAAGGTAGGTAAAAGCAAAGGTGAGGTAAAAGTAAAGGTGAGGTAAAAGTAAAGGTAAAAGTAAAGGTAAAGGTGAGGTAAAGGTGAGGTAAAGGTAAAGGTAAAGGTGAGGTGAAAGTAAAGGTAAAGGTGAAGTAAAAGTAAAGGTAAGGTAAAGGTAAAGGTGAGGTAAAGGTAAAGGTGAGGTAAAGGTAAAGGTGAGGTAAAAGTAAAGGTAAAGGTGAGGTAAAGGTAAAGGTGAGGTAAAGGTAAGGTACCTGGCTCCGTTGCGCACGGTGACGTCCACCGTCTCTCCAGGGAAGAAGCGGTCTTTGACGAAGGCGTGGACGTCCTCGCAGAGCTCCGTCAGCCGGCAGCGGCGGCTCAGAGCGGCCAGGTGGAGCAGAGGCACCACGAGAGCCGGAGGGAAGCTCTGAAGGCTCTGCTTCGCCCGCCGCTCGCTCTCCACCGCCTCCAGGTAGGTGAGGCCCGCTCGGCCCGTCAGAGCGCAGCTCCACACTAAACTGTTACACAAGATGGTCCGCTCGAAGAACTCGCTGAGGACGACAGGAAGTGGTCATCAGACATCATCATCATCATCATCATCATCATCTGGTCCAACATCGGTCACGATTATTCTGAATCTCTGATTGATTATCTGAATCTCTGATTGATTATCTGAATCTCTGATCACTAGTTACATTTAATTCTGTTTCATTTGTTGTTTGTTTGACAAAAGTTACGTCAGGACACTTTTATCTACAGAAACTTTCAGTTTATCTCCGAGAACTGTGAGCCTCAGCAACGTTCCCGACCAATATTCCCGACCAACGTTTCCGATCAACGTTCCCGATCAACGTTCCCGACCAACGTTCCCGATCAACTTTCCCGACCAACGTTCCCGACCAACGTTCCCGATCAACTTTCCCGACCAACGTTCCCGATCAACTTTCCCGACCAACGTTCCCGACCAACGTTCCCGACCAACGTTCCCGACCAACGTTCCCGACCAATGTTCCTATTAGGGATATTAACTCATACTTTCAGAACTCGGAGCTACAGTAGCGTTGGTTGCTAGGTAACGTACATTTAATTTCCATTCTTCATTAAATGCTGTTTGTCACATTTTAGCTTTATATCAATAATATGTTAATGACCTCGTGAACAATAAAGTTTCCCTGTTGCTGTCTGAACCGGTTCCTTCAAAATAAAATACAGATTCAGTTCGAACATCTTCAACTTCAGAAGTTGTGAAAGTGACCAGGAATCAATCAATCAATCAATCAATCAATCACTTTCAGAGTGTGTTGAGGCTCTGGAGCATCACCTGCACTCAGTCACACAGGTGGAAGTGACCCTCAGCAGGTGTGAAACTTTATTGACACAGTGTGAGTTGACAGCAGGCCCGTGTCACTCAGCTAACGGCTAACAGTTAGCTAACCGCCGACTGACAGCTGCTGCTAGCTAACGCTGCTAACTCACTTTAGCTCAGGTAGCTAACCCAACGTTACACCTGTCCCAGAGCTACCTGTGAGCCGGTGTCCACCTGTGTGTCCACCTGTACGTCCACCTGTGCACCTTGAACACAACTTTGTAATTCATTTCCAGCCTCAATAAAGTTTTTTTTGTTGTTTTTGTTGTGTGAAAGTTTTCCAACCGACCGACTGTCAATCAAACTCTTTCCAGGTGACTCAGGTGAGTTCAGGTGAGTTCAGGTGAGACTTACTCGTAGGTCCTGAAGATCTCGTGTGTGATCTTGCAGAGGAAGACCTCCTCGTCCGGCCGCAGGTCCGCCGGAGGTTTCTGCCGGATGAAGGCTTTTCTGTGGAGGAGCGGCATCCCGGAGCCCCGCGTCCACCGGCGGCGCTTCACACAAACACCGACAGAAAAGGAGGGAAACCGGCTCACAGAGTTCGAGGATGAGACACGGAGAGTTACCGTCCACCGGCAGACTACAACCGGAGCGCTGGGCGGGAAGCAGCGGGGTCAGGCCGAGCGGAGGCACCGAGCGGCGGGTTCGGATCTTTTGTTACTCTGCCCACATGGAAGTGAGGCGTTCACGGTCCGATAGCGCAAACTCTCCGCTTTCAGCGCCAAACGGTGAAAACACTCATCGTACTTCGGTCGGTAGAAGCCGGTAGGAACGGGTCTGTAACGGCCGGTACCGAGAGTAAACGGGGGACGGATAATCCGCGGTCCGAACAGCAGAAGCAGAAGAAGAAGAAGTCCCGGGCTCAGAGCTGAAAGCTGCTTGTTGACCAACTTTTCAGCCGATTCACGGACCCGCTCAGAGCTGGGAAACTGCAGTGCTGCCGTTAGTTCGCCTCATTTAAAGATAAAGAATAACGGATGAGACGTTTAAAGGTCCAGTGTCAGCAGAGGGAGCTCGGTTACAGACGTTACTTATCCATTACAGTAACACATGTAATCTGATTACACTTCACTTTACTAAAAAATCGATTATTTAGTAGGATTACAATTTTAAAATACATCCTGTTTGATTAATTGTTGAATATCGTGGAGGAATATTAATATAATTAACTTTATGAACGAATGAATTTATTAACTTTGTGAACGAATGAATTTATTAACTTTATGAACGAAAGATCCTTTAACTTTATGAACGAATGAATCCTTTAACTTTATGAACGAATGAATCCTTTAACTTAATGAATGAATCCTTTAACTTTATGAACAAGTGAATCCTTTAACTTTATGAACGAATTAATCCTTTAACTTTATGAACAAGTGAATCTTTTAACTTTATGAATGAATGAATCCTTTAACTTTGTGAATTAATGAATTTATTAAGTTAATGACTGAATCCTTTAACTTTATGAACGAATGAATCCTTTAACTTTATGAACGAATGAATCCTTTAACTTTATGAACAAGTGAATCCTTTAACTTTATGAATGAATGAATCCTTTAACTTTGTGAATTAATGAATTTATTAAGTTAATGAATGAATCCTTTAACTTTATGAACGAATGAATCCTTTAACTTTGTGAATGAATGAATTTATTAACTTAATGAATGAATCCTTTAACTTTATGAACAAGTGAATCCTTTAACTTTATGGATGAATGAATCCTTTAACTTTGTGAATTAATGAATTTATTAAGTTAATGAATGAATCCTTTAACTTTATGAACGAATGAATCCTTTAACGTTTATGAACGAATGAATCCTGTAACTTTATGAATGAAGGAATCCTTTAACTTTGTGAATGAATGAATTAACTGAACGAATGAATCCTTTGAGTTTATGAACGAATTAATCCTTTAACTTTATGAAGGAATGAATCTTTTAACTTTATGAACGAATGAATTTATTAACTTTATGAACAAACAAATCCTTTCACTTTATGAACGAATGAATCCTTTAACTTTATGAAGGAATGAACCTTTTAACTTTATGAAGGAATTAATCTTTTTAACTTTATGAAGGAATGAATCTTTTAACTTTATGAATGAATCCTTTAACTTTATGAAGGAATGAATCCTTTAACTTTATGAACGAATGAATCCTTTAACTTTATGAATTAATGAATTTATTAAGTTAATGAATGAATCCTTTAACTTTATGAACGAATGAATCCTTTAACTTTATGAACGAATGAATCCTTTAACTTTATGAACGAATGAATCCTTTAACTTTATGAATTAATGAATTTATTAAGTTAATGAATGAATCCTTTAACTTTATGAACGAATGAATCCTTTAACTTTATGAACGAATGAATCCTTTAACTTTATGAAGGAATGAATCCTTTTAACTTTATGAAGGAATGAATCCTTTTAACTTTATGAACGAATGAATCCTTTAACTTTATGAATTAATGAATTTATTAAGTTAATGAATGAATCCTTTAACTTTATGAACGAATGAATCCTTTAACTTTATGAAGGAATGAATCCTTTAACTTTATGAAGGAATGAATCCGTTTAACTTTATGAACGAATGAATCCTTTAACTTCATGAACAAATGAATTCTTTAACTTCATGAACAAATGAATTTATTAACTTTATGAATGAATGAATTTATTAATGCTGTAGTTTTAGTTCTCTGAATGTCTGCTGATGATCTTATTGATCTTCCAAACTGTTCAATGTCTGTACAGAAATATTTGTTGAATATTAATAAATATTTATGGATGCACAATATTGATTGATTTGTTTCAGATCAATCAATAACTGATCATTTCATATTTCCGTGTTAATGGTTCATAACCTGTTTATATATAATTCACAATAAATTATAATCAACTAATAACTCATCAGCTGTAATTGAATTATGGGAATATATTTATCTGCCCTGATCATTATCCTGCATACCGACTTCATACTAATGGAAACATGTTTTCAGCTGCAGGTTGAACTGAATCCAATAAATCAATAAATCTGAAAATGTGTGTATAATTATATGTAAATGTTTTATGATATAGACAAATAAAACATTCAAAATCAATTCAAAGGCAGATTAAAAAGAAAGTTATCTTTAAAAAAAGTCAATAACATGATGGACAAATTCCTAATGATAATAATTATCATAATAATAATAATAATGATAATATAACTATACTAATGATAATAATAATAATAACAATAATAATAATAAAAATAATAACAATAATACAAATAATGATGATAATACTACTAATAATAGTAATAATGATAATTACAAGTGAACATTTCTTATCACACAAATATTTCACCTATAAATCAATAATGTGAATATTTGCAGATTCCGTTGATTGATTATTTATCGCTCTAATAATAATAATAATAATAATTTCTAATGCTGGAACATGACTGTATTCGTTCGGTTGCATGAATTCTTTATTTGTTTTGTATTGAACCAGTTTCACTCCACTGGTCACACTGGGACTTAAACTGGACTCAGACCATTTCAAATAAAAGCTGCCTCGTGTGTGTTTCCGAGTTGAAGTCGGCCCCTGAACGCACCACACGGAGTGAGTAAAGTGGGCGGGGCGTTCACGGTCCTCCTCAGCGCCGGTTGGTCGGCCGTTCTGCCGCTCCTCCGCTGCCAGCCAATGGTTGCCCTGGAAACGGTCCCGCTGCCGTCCGAGGAACGCGGAGCGGTGACGTCACAGTGAACGGAAGGAAGCGGTGACGAGTGATGACGCAGAGTAAGTCACAGCAGGAGAGGATGCGTCATCAGTTAAGTGTTCCACTTTGATCAGAGACCTTTTATTGTCTATTGATTGATTGATTGATTGATTGTTTGTATCAGATTCAAATCTTTTATTTATTTTCAATATCCTATTATATTTATATTTTATTAATATATTTATATCCTATATTTATATTTTATTAATATATTTATATCCTATATTTATATTTTATTAATATATTTATATCCTATATTTATATTTTATTAATATATTTATATCCTATATTTATATTTTATTAATATATTTATATCCTATATTTATATTTTATTAATATATTTATATCCTATATTTATACTTTATTAATATATTTATATCCTATATTTATATTTTATTAATATATTTATATCCTATATTTATACTTTATTATTATATCAAAATCCTATATTTATATTTTATTATTATATTAATATCCTATATTTATACTTTATTATTATATTAATATCCTATATTTATATTTTATTAATATATTTATATCCTATATTTATACTTTATTATTATATTAATATCCTATATTTATACTTTATTATTATATTAATATCCTATATTTTTATTTTATTATTATATTAATATCCTATGCTTTTATTTTATTAACATATTTATATCCTATATTTATACTTTATTATTATATGAATATCCTATATTTATATTTTATTATTATATTTATATCCTATATTTATACTTTATTATTATATTAATATCCTATATTTATATTTTATTAATATATTGATATCCCATATTTTATTAATATATTAATATCCTATATTTATACTTTATTAATATATTTATATGCTATATTTATACTTTATTCATATATTTATATCCTATATTTATACTTTATTATATTAATATCCTATATTTATACTTTATTATTATATTAATATCCTTTATTAATACTTATTATTATATTAATATCCTATATTTATACTTTATTATTATATTAATATCCTATATTTATACTTTATTATTATATTAATATCCTATATTTATACTTTATTATTATATTAATATCCTTTATTAATACTTTATTATTATATTAATATCCTATATTTATACTTTATTATTATATTAATATCCTATATTTATACTTTATTAATATATTAATATCCTATATTTATACTTTATTAATATATTAATATCCTATATTTATACTTTATTAATATATTAATATCCTATATTTATACTTTAATATATTTATATCCTATATTTATACTTTATTATAATATTAATATCCCAAATTTTATTAATATATTAATATCCTATATATTTTATTATTATATTAATATCCTATATTTATATTTTATTATTATATTAATATCCTATATTTATACTTTATTATTATATTAATATCCTATATTTATATTTTATTATTATATTAATATCCTATATTTATATTTTATTAATATATTAATATCCTATATTTATATTTTATTATTATATTAATATCCTATATTTATACTTTATTATATTAATATCCTATATTTATATTTTATTAATATATTAATATCCTATATTTATACTTTATTATTATATTAATATCCTATATTTATATTTTATTAATATATTAATATCCTATATTTATACTTTATTATTATATTAATATCCTATATTTATATTTTATTATTATATTAATATCCTATATTTATATTTTATTATTATATTAATATCCTATATTTATACTTTATTATATTAATATCCTATATTTATATTTTATTAATATATTAATATCCTATATTTATACTTTATTATTATATTAATATCCTATATTTATATTTTATTAATATATTAATATCCTATATTTATATTTTATTATTATATTTATATCCTATATTTATATTTTATTATTATATTAATATCCTATATTTATATTTTATTATTATATTAATATCCTATATTTATACTTTATTATATTAATATCCTATATTTATATTTTATTAATATATTAATATCCTATATTTATATTTTATTATTATATTAATATCCTATATTTATATTTTATTATTATATTAATATCCTATATTTATACTTTATTATATTAATATCCTATATTTATACTTTATTATATTAATATCCTATATTTATATTTTATTAATATATTTATATCCTATATTTATATTATATTATTATATATGTTTATTATTCTGAACCTGATAGACTTTATTGCCTTTAAAGGCGGAGAGGAGCAATAAACTACATTTACAAAGATTTATATTTGACCTTTTAGTTTTTGGAAGTTATGCTAGCTAATGATGCTAACAATGACTTCCTGGTTGCTCCTGATTGGACAGAGCTACAGCTGTCTCCTAGCAACAGATTGACACATTAAGGGTTCATTGGTTGAAACGACCGGATTTATTAAAGCAGAACCTGAGGAACCATAAAGAGCTGCTGTCCAGAACCCAGTCCAGAACCCAGTACAGAACCCAGTCCAGAACCCAGTCCAGAACCCAGTACAGAACCCAGTCCAGAACCCAGTACAGAACACAGTCCAGAACCCAGTCCAGAACCCAGTCCAGAACCCAGTCCAGAACCCAGTCCAGCTGTTTTATAGGAACCGTGGTCCAGAACCCAGTCCAGCTGTTTTATAGGAACCGTGGTCCAGAACCCAGTCCAGCTGTTTTATAGGAACCGTGGTCCAGAACAGTCAAACTGAGCCCACAGCAGCAGGTCCGGATCAGAGGACCCTGTACAGGTGGATCTGTCTGAGAGCGTCAGGGTCTGTGTCAGCGCCCAGGTAAACGTCACAGTCCACAGGAAGTTCCTCCACCCAGCCGGGCTGCACCGCCTCCTGCTGGACACCAACAGGAAGTGCTCATTAAAGGTCCTACAGCATAAAAGGTCCTACAGCCTAAAAGGTCCTACAGCATAAAAGGTCCTACAGCATAAAAGGTCCTACAGCCTAAAAGGTCCTACAGCATAAAAGGTCCTACAGCCTAAAAGGTCCTACAGCATAAAAGGTCTTACAGCATAAAAAGGTCCTACAGCATAAAAAGGTCTTACAGCACCGAGATCCACGTTAATATATAACACACACACATAATGAGTGTGTGTGTGTGTGTGTGTGTGGTTACCTGCAGTGTGTTCAGACTCTCCTGCAGACTGGGGACTGTCACCAGCAGAGATCCTTTCTTCCTGAAGTTCTTCATGATGAAGTTCCACGCTCTGAAAGCACACACACACATTTTAATAATCTAGTTATCTGTGTGTGTGTGTGTGTGTGTGTGTGTATATATAAGTGTGTGTGTTAGTGTGTACCTGTGTATGTAAGTGTGTGTGTGTGTGTGTGTGTGTGTGTGTGTGTGTTATTGTGTACCTGACTTGTTCTGTTGGTTCCATGAAGAACTCGAAGACGTTGTTCATGATGAGAACGTCAGCGTTCTGCAGCAGAACGTTCTGCAGGCAGACGTCAGAGTGGAGAACCTGCAGGAGGTGGAACTCATCAGGAACTGGTTCTACTGGGTTCTTTATGTAGTGCAGTGTATGTGTGTGTGTGTGTGTGTGTGTGTGTGTGTACCTGCACTCTGTCTGACAGGTTGTATCTGTGGACGATGTCCTCCTGCAGTCTCACAAAGTCCTCACTGAGCTCCACACCGACCAGCTGAGAGGCTGCACTGAACACATAGCCCTAACACACACACACACACACAGACACACACACACACACACACAGACACACACACAGACACACACACAGACACACACACACACACACACAGACACACACAGACACACACACACACACACACACACACACACACAGACACACACACACACACACACACACACACACACACAGACACACACACACACACACACACACACACACAGACACACACACAGACACACAGGCGTTGATTTAATGTTAAGAACTCTACTGGGTTCTGCTGAGACCTGCTGGGCTCTACTGGGTTCTACTGACCCCGTACAGGACAGCTCCCAGTCTGGAACCCACATCCACCAGCATCCGGCCACTCAGGTCCGGAAGAACGTTCTCAAACAGGAACTGAAGCTCCGGGATGGAGAAGGAGTGAGACAGGAAGTCTGCAGGAGGAAGACAGGAGAAGAAGATGTAAGCAGGAAGAACGTCAGCGATGAGGAGGAAGAGGAAGAGTGTTCTGACCCAGAGGAGCGGTTCTGTGGGATCCACAGGTGAGACAGTACGATCGACTCATGGTTCCGTTCTCACACAGAGAGTCCACCTGATCTTCATCATACAGGAAGCTGTCCACGTGGACCGTCGGCCGGGAGCACTGCTGCATCTGAAACATCATCATCTTCATCATCTTCATCATCTTCATCATCATCAATATCATCAATATCATCAATATCATCATCAATATCATCATCATCAACATCATCATCATCAATATCATCATCATCATCATCATCACCATCATCAATATCATCATCATCATCATCATCATCACCATCATCAATATCATCATCAATATCAATATCAACAGTAATTATACAGTACTACTACTAATAATATAATAATTATTATTATTTAGTGCTGCCAAAGTTAACGCGTTCATTTTGGCGATTATTTTTAAACATTTAATGCATTAAAATCAATTAACGTGGTTTTGTTTACTTCCGGTGGCGGCTGACCCATAACTTTTGGTCACATGCGCTGGCCAACCGGGCAAACATCTATCTTAACTAAAGCAGAGTCTATGGCGGAAAGATGGATAAGGTCGGACTTTTAGGGGGAAAGTTTCCTTTTTAAAAGTTGCCCGACGGCTCGTTGGACAAAGCCAAGGCAATTTGCACAGTTTGCAAAGCCGAATTTAATTACCACAGAAGTAACACGTCTTTAGGGTTAATGCCATCTCTGAATTTAACAGAGTCCTATAACGACTTTAGTCCCTCTGAAATTGATAATCTTGTCGATGGTGCTGCAGGCTCACTACGATCAACATTAGACTCTATCGCTCCTATAAAAAGGAAATTATTAAAACATAGGAGACTAGCACCTTGGTATAACCACCAAACCCGCCAGTTAAAACAAATAGCTAGGAAATCTGAAAGGAAATGGCGCTCTTCCAAATTATCAGAATATCGCTCAATTTGGCAAGATAATCTTAAAATTTATAGAAAGGCCCTCCGTAATGCCAGAGGAGCCTATTACTCAGCACTAATAGAAGAAAATAAGAATAACCCTAGGTTCCTCTTCAGCACTGTAGCCAGGCTGACAGAGAGTCACAGCTCTATTGAGCCACATATCCCCATAAACTTAAGTAGCAATGACTTCATGAGCTTCTTCTATAATAAAATTATTACTATTAGAGAAAAAATTAATCACCAACTGCCATCAACAGTTATCAGTGGCTCTCCAAGTTCAGGGACTTCTGTCTAATGTAAACTTAGATATATATTTAGACTGTTTTTCTGCTATCGATCTTCATCAGTTAACTTCAATCATTTCTTCATCGAAGCCATCAACCTGTCTGTTAGACCCGATCCCAACTAGGCTGCTTAAAGAAGTTTTTCCCTTAATTGGCACTTCTTTACTGGATATGATTAATCTTTCTTTATTATCAGGATATGTACCACAGTCCTTTAAAGTAGCTGTAATTAAACCCCTTCTTAAAAAGTCTACTCTTGACCCAGGGGTTTTAGCCAACTATAGACCGATTTCTAACCTCCCCTTCCTCTCTAAGATTCTGGAGAAAGTAGTCGCCAAAGAGTTGTGTGACTTTCTACATAACAATAGTTTATTTGAGGATTTTCAGTCAGGATTTAGAGTTCATCATAGCACAGAGACAGCTCTGGTTAAAGTTAATAATGACCTTCTGACTGCTTCTGACAATGGACTTGTCTCTGTACTTGTATTATTAGATCTTAGTGCTGCATTTGACACCATTGACCATGATATTCTTTTACAGAGACTTGAGCCTCAAATTGGCATTAAAGGAACAGCCCTAACCTGGTTTAAGTCATACTTTATCAGATCGTTCTCAGTTTGTACATGTTAACGATGAATCCTCCATAAATACTAAAGTTAGTCATGGAGTTCCACAAGGTTCTGTACTTGGACCAATACTATTTACTTTATATATGCTCCCTTTAGGCAACATTATTAGGAATCACTCCATTAACTTTCACTGTTATGCAGATGATACGCAGTTATATCTATCAATCAAACCCAATGAAATTAATCAATTATCTAAATTACAAACATGTCTTAAGGACATAAAATCCTGGATGAGCTGCAATTTTCCTGATGTTAAACTCAGAAAAAAACGAAATTCTTGTTCTTGGCCCCAAAAACCTTAGAGACTCATTGTCTAAAGATATAGTTACTCTAGATGGCATTAACTTGGCCTCTAGCACCACTGTCAGGAATCTTGGAGTTATCTTTGATCAGGATTTGTCATTTAACTCCCACATAAAGCAGACCTCTAGGACTGCCTTCTTTCATTTACGTAATATTAGAAAAATTAGACACATACTATCACAGACAGATGCAGAAAAACTAATCCATGCATTTGTTACTTCAAGGCTGGATTACTGCAACTCTTTATTATCAGGTTGCCCCAATAAGTCCATTAAAACGCTCCAATTAATTCAGAACGCTGCAGCACGAGTACTGACAGGAACTAGAAAAAGAGATCACATCTCTCCTGTACTAGCTACTCTGCATTGGCTCCCTATAAAATGTAGAATTGAATTTAAAATCCTCCTCCTCACCTATAAAGCTCTTCATGGTCAGGCCCCTTCATATCTTAAAGAGCTCATAGTACCCTATTACCCCACTAGAACACTACGTTCTCTGAATGCTGGGCTACTTGTGGTTCCTATAGTCTCTAAAAGTAGAACAGGAGCCAGAGCCTTCAGTTACCAAGCTCCTCTCCTGTGGAACCAGCTTCCAGTTGTGGTTCGGGAGGCAGACACCCTCACCACATTCAAGAGTAGGCTTAAGACATTCCTCTTTGATAAAGCTTATAGTTAGGGCTGGATCAGGTGAGTCCTGAACCATCCCTTAGTTATGCTGCTATAGGCCTAGACTATCGGGGGATTTCCCATGGTGCACTGAGCTCCTCTCTTCCTCTCTCTTTCTGCACTCATTCATGTCCCTTTAATGCATGTTACTAACTTCACTTCTTCCCCGGAGTTCTTGTGCTTTCTCGTCTCGCAGGTTCTCATGGATCCTGGTGGAGCCTCCTGCCATGGTCCTGCTAGATTGCCATTGCCAATACTGTTGTTGCTGTGCACCTGTCTGTCTGTCTGTCTGTCTGTCTCTCTCTCTCTCTCTCTCTCTCTCTCTCTCTCTCTCTCTCTCTCTCTCTCCAACTGGTCGAGACAGACGACCACCCACCTAGAGCCGGAGGATCTGTCCTAGGTTTCTGCCTTTTAACAGGCAGTGTTTCCTTGCCCTTGTCTCCAAGTGCTTGCTCATGGTGGTACTGTTGGGTCTCTGTAATTAATGTTAAAGAGTTCGGTCTAGACCTGCTCTATTTGAAAAGTGTCCTGAGATAACTTCTGTTATGAATTGGCGCTATACAAATAAAATTGAATTGAATTGAATTGTTATTAGTGTTATTAGTATTAGTGTTATTAGTGTTATTAGTATTAGTATTATTAGTATTAGTGTTATTAGTGTTATTAGTGTCAGTGTTATTAGTGTTATTAGTGTCAGTGTTATTAGTGTTATTAGTGCCAGTGTTATTAGTGTCAGTGTTATTAGTGTCAGTGTTATTAGTGTTATTAGTGTTATTAGTGTTATTAGTATTAGTGTTATTAGTGTCAGTGTTATTAGTGTTATTAGTGTTATTAGTGTCAGTGTTATTAGTGTCAGTGTTATTAGTGTTATTAGTGTTATTAGTGTCAGTGTTATTAGTGTTATTAGTGTTATTAGTATTAGTGTTATTAGTGTCAGTGTTATTAGTGTTATTAGTGTTATTAGTGTCAGTGTTATTAGTGTCAGTGTTATTAGTGTTATTAGTGTTATTAGTGTTCCAGTACCTTGCAGTGGGCGGTGCTCTCCGAGGGGAACATGGCGTTTGGCGGTAAACTGGCTCTCAGGTCGTCAGAAATGTTCCTCAGGATCACTTTGTTGTTGTTGTTGTTGTCTGACAGCAGCTGATCCAGTTCATCTGCAGGGAGGAGAACAGCTCACAGTACGGAGGCCCACACAGTCCACTTCACTCACAGCTCAGGTACTGTTAATACTGTTCAACCTATTGATCGGTGATCACTAATCGATGCTTCCAGGTGTGTTTACCTGAGTTTCTCATCCAGTGCAGTAGTTTGGGGAGTTCCCGCGGGTTCACTCTGTTCAGCAGCTGCACGAGCTCTGACTGCGCGGCGGGAACATCCATCTCCACCCCGAGGACGGATCGATGGGACGGATCGATGGGACGGATCGATGGGACGGATCAGGATCAGATCAGATCCGCTCTGCAGGGCTGCAGCAGGAACGTGTCTGTGGTTTTAAGGTGGACCCTGCAGACTCCCAGCAGCTGCTGGTCCGTCCGGAACCTCTGCTGGTCCGTCCGGAACCTGCTCCGGTGAGAACACCGACAGTCTGAACGCAGACGGAACCGGTTGAAGACGATAAGATTCAGAATCCCGCTGCTCTTCCGGATCCTTCAGACCACCTTAAGAGGACAAACAGACCCCGGAAGCAGTTGGTTTTTTTTCTTTAAATAAAACTTTAATGAGTTAAACACGTTTACAAAATATGAATAAATAATATTAACCGTCGTCAGTGAAGGTTTATAATGAAACATATGGAGGCCAGGATAACAAATAACAATAACAAATGTATTAGAATG